TTCTTAAACCCACTACACGATGGTGGTGTAAGAATATTCTTTATTTAATTTCGTCTAAATAATTACATACAAACCTCTTTTTTCCACCCTCAGGGGTGAAATTCCGTCTTCAAATTTATATGGCACCCTGAAGTATAACTTATTTAATGAAAAAGGAATCATGGAAATCAGTTTACTATTGTGCGTGTTATGAATAGAAACACACCGACGCGACGGTAAATCCCCCACTAGATGGAGTGACGACCTGCTAAAATATGCAGGAAGTCGATGAATGCAGGTGGCTCAGGACCGTGCTATGTAGCATTACTTGGGGGAGGCCTTTGTTCAGCAGTGGACTTGTGAAGGGCTGTAATGATGATGATGATGAGGACGCGACGGTTTGAGAACTGGTTTACTGAGTTCTCTTTAAATCTCCTACACAAAATGTGAAGCTCCGACTTCACAATGCGAAATTATTTTGTTCTTTACTTTTTATTAAAAGTTAATTTATTTAATTCGGCAAAAAATTTGTTGCTATATCCTTTTTTTACTAAGTTTTTTATTATATAAGTATAAGTTTTTTATATATATATATATATATACTATTGTCTGTGTTAGACATTACGTAAAATCGTATGTAAAATCTATGCTGAACTACTCCCATTGGATGTATGAGGATGGATTTTGATAAAATGTTGTGTTTGATTAGGTTGATTCTAGAATGGCTTAGATTCACAATTAAACACGATAGGTAACGCATCTGTTGACATCCAGATATGACCCGTGCGGAGCTGGGATGGATCGCTAGTACAATATATATGTTATTGTAAGAATATCCACCACCCCATATCATCTCGTGGCTGTCGTAAGAGGCGACAGAGGGAAACTTAAATAGGCAACAGAAGCACTAACTGTGGCAAACATCCTCCCTATGAGGCAATATTTCGTTTTAACGACACAATACATACTTTTTAAACGAGGAGTAATTAGTAAAAACTTTCATTCGTGGGACTGTACGACAGAAAACTATTTAGTTTCACAAACTTGTAAACATTATTTTTGGGTCGTTAAGAAATTTTTTTAGGATGTATTGTTATTAGGTATAAATTATTTTTATCAACGTATTATATAGTGATAACATTTTCATTGTTTGCGCTGTTTTACATGAAAAAGCATGACTATTATCTAAATTATACAAACAGCGGAGCATTGAAGTAATATGTACTTACTTACTAGAACAGCTATTTCAAACAAAAAATGTGCGCTACTCTGTGTTCGCGCGTTTGGTTTTATTATCATAGAATAAACATAGGTAGAATGATCCGTAGGTAATAGTAGATTGTATTGTTAAATAGGTAAATTATATCGAGAACAAAATTTAAATTTTGTAATTTGTTTTGTATATTATATTTGCTTATTTAATATAATATTACTTAATATTATATCACAATTACATTTTAATGATATTTTTATCAGAATATTTTAAAAGGTATCTATGTCAAATATAAAAAAACACATACTAAATGTGTGTTTAACAAAACTTATTAACATAACATTTAAATTACAAATATATTTATTTAAATTAGAATAAGAGTCGTTCATAAATGCTGGGCACGCGAGAGTTAAAAATGGACGAATTTATTCCACTTTGACTTTGATGTGGAAACCCAAAAATAAAATAAAAGAATAATAAGCAGATTTAAACATGAAAAATTTAGCCTAATTATAAAAACTTATATATGTGTCTACAAAAAATGCGTATAATAATATATTCGTTCTATACTTAAGTACCCAGAGAAATGTCGCATCTGAACATATTAATTTCATAATCTATATTTCATGACACGAGATGACGTCTTAGAAATAATTTGTTTTATTATTATTCTATAATACTGTTTTATTGATTAAGTATCTTATTAACCGATGGAAAGTAATTCCTTGGTTTTTACTGACATTTCTTCAATTATTTGTGCATTATTTAAGTACACACGACGACATATTTTTATAAAGAGATTTTTTTTAAATCAACACAACACGTGACAACTCTACAAACGCCTGACTTATTGTTATATTAATAAACGAGTGACTTTTAAAGTGCGGTGTATGCACCGCAGTTGAGTGGAACATAGTAGCTGAATGCAGTGTCGCCTCTAGTACGTAGTACGTAATAACTCAACGCAACGGAGACAGTCCATTTCAGGTCCAGGCTATGTACACTTTACCCTAAAAAACGAAAAATTCAGAGATTCTATTAAAAATAAAATAAGAGAATAAATCAAACTTAATGACTTGTTAAAAATAAAAATGCAATCCTAATTATTGATGATTTTATAAGATAGCGCCCTTCCAGTCTAAAATTATATGTCAAATGTCATATCTGATAAGTGACTTGTGTCATGAAATAATGTAGGTAGTGTGATATTTTTTTGTTTATTCCGAGCTTGTTTGTAGTTGTGAACTCATGCATTTTGGATCTGTTCATTTTGGATATCTTTGAATTTGAATCCATTACTACTTGTTTGACTCGGTTTTCGTTTTATGGATTTCATGATTAACGTAAGATTTTGTTGATATCAGACGTCAGTAGAATCACATTTTGAATCACTGGGCAGGTATTTAAGAAAGATGTTTCCTAAAGTTATTAAACGCATTTGAAAAACACCATTTCAGAATTCAAATATCTGTCAATAAATTGATTGACTGTCAAAACATTTGAGAGCTAACGTGAAAACGACATGAATTAGCAGTCAGTGTTGCGGTTTATGGTAAAATTAAAATATTTATAGCACTTAAATGAATGAAAATTCGTGTATTTGAATGAACAAAAGTGATACAATTTATTATTTTAATTTATTTCCCTACTTGTACAAAACCAGGCCTACACTTTATACAATTTTGGACCGTCTTCTTTATAAATACAACATATCAATTTTATAAAATTTAATCAATTGGATTCTCAACATTACTTTCATCATGGGTGAAAGCAGTAGAGTCCAATGGTGAGGCCGTTAGTTTGGACATAGTGAAGGCCTTCGATCGGGTTTGGCATAAAGCGCTTCTTACCAAGCTTCTTTCCTATGAGCTTCCCGAGAAATTGTGCTTTTGGATCACCAGTTCTTTTGCTGATCGGAGCGTCAATGTAGTAGTAAACGGTGCATGCTCCAATTACAAGCCCATTAACGCTGGTGTTCCACAAGGCTGCGTGGTATCACCAACGCTGTTTCTTCTCTATATCAATGACATGTTGCGAACCGGTAAAATTCGTTGCTATGCAGACGACAGCACTAGTGATGCTTTATACACCGGTCGTGCCAATATTTCTTGGGAAAACATTGCCGAGTACCGGGACAAACATGTGTCTGAAGTCGAGACTTTGTTGTACAAAGTCTCGGACTTGGAACTACTAAATCTAGTCCAATCCCCAGAAGAAACAAGTTGTGCGAGTTTACCGCTAAATTTATCTCGGCGTCGACATGGCGAGTGACGTACAGTTTCGTGGTCACTTAGAAAAAAAGGCCAAATTGGCCTCTAAAAAGCTTATCGTGCTCAGAAGAGTGGGACAGTATTTCACGCCAGCTCATCACCTGCAATTTTTTACTGGTTGATAAACGAGCACACTCTTTCATCAAATTTACTTCTTCTTTTAGTTAAAGTTAAAGCACATATTTTGCAAATGTTAATATAATGTGTGATTAAATCACCTAAAGAACTTTGAGGCTATAGGTAACGTTTAAGTGTACTGTAAGCCTAATTAAACCAGCCCTTGTAAGCAGCACTGGTTTCCATACGCTAGTAGACATGTGCTGCTTCCATCGCTACGAGAAATTCCCAATATTTTTTTAGAGTAAAGGTGAGAAACAAGCACAGTTCACCTGAGGATAGGTGGATGCTGTGGCTCATAAACATCTACTTTTATCTTCGATTAAGAATCAAAATGCACATCTGTTGTCACCCCTCACCCCTGAGGACTAAGATGGAATGCCTCGATTCCAGTAAAATTGGCCTCCGGTTTTCGTATGAAACATAGCTGCATTGAGCTGCTTTTTGCGCTTCTGTTCTATGAGAGCGTGTTCCTTTACCGGTCGAGACGACTCATTCGTGATACAACTATAATAAATCATATATTGTATGGCAATATAGCATATTCATATGGCTCAATCACGCTTAAATAATTTAAAAGGAAGTGGACGAACCTAGATTTAGCTTAATTTTAATAATAAAATGCTTTAATTTATAGCAAATAGTTTGGAAAATTCCAAAAGTGCACGCCTCATAAACGTTTTTATTTTATTCCCCAAATTTTTTTTTAATTTAGATGGAAAAAAATTTATTTTAAACGTCTTTGAGTCTGATAACAACCAGCAATAGGGATCAACCTTGGGATAAATGAAAACTTATTCAGAAAGAATTATTTCATTTCATCCCGTATACTATTTGCGACAAACAACTGCAGTGACTAACTGACAGCCGCACTAATAGTTTTTGACTACATTGTTTGTAAATATAACTAAACAAATGAATTAAAAATACGCTCACTTTATAATTTAATATATCTAGTTTTCAAAATATCTCTTTTTTATTGATTTCGTGCTTAAATTGAGACACTAACAATTTTATATTGCAAAATCATTATATAGTGGCATGTCAAGAGCAGGGCACTCCCAAACGCTTGCGCTTTGTGAGGCACGCAAAATAACTTGTTGCTAATATTAAACAACGCCAAATCTTTGTAGGCCTTGTATAAAAAGTAGTAACTGATTGCAAAATTCCAACATACTTTATCTTAAGCACTTGCATTAGATTATTTATCACAAGTGATATAATGTAACCATATATCGACGCATACACGCAATTAATTATAACAAGATCGCTTGCGCAAACGCCCTACGTCGCTCGTGTTTTCAAAATTCCGCAACCTTGTGTTATGGATATGTATAAAACACATGGGCTCCCTGGACGATACATCAGTCACTTGTGTCTCCTCATATCAGCACCACAGACTCCAAAAACCAAACATCAAAATGAAAACTTTCGTAAGTTTTTTTTTTTATTATTAAACATCCAAACTTAAAAAATAAATCAGTTGCACATAATAAGTACACATAGGTACAAAAATTTGTAACATGGCATTTATAAAAAACCCTAGGGTTTTTCTATTCAGAGGTCTTATTTTAGTCAACTAGAGAAGCTTTTGACGTTCATAAGAGTTTTGACAAGTCTTAATTGAATAAATTTTTTTGAATTTTGAATTTGACTTTGGAACAGAAATTGAAGTTTATTATAGTGTCTGTAGTATATTATTGTTTTAGTACTGTAATTACTTATAATTACTCCAAATTAAATTTAACTAAAAGGTTAGACACAATATTAAAAAAAACTAAAATAAAGAGAAAGCAAAACTAAAATTTTAAACTAACATACGGTCTTGCTCCCGTGGTACCGTGCCAACAACGCTGGCTACGTTTCCTCGCTGAATGGCTATACTTAGCTTTTCCTTTTGTTTAGAAAAGAACTAGCCATCTTGTCTCCAGAAGCGACGGTACAAATCTTTTAAAAACTTAACTACGTCAAATGGCACAAATAGGAAGTAGTAACTTTTTTATTCAATATGGAAGAAGATTATAAATAATACCTATTGAAACTTTTTGGAATTTTGTTGTAAAACCGTATCCATCACCCCAAGAATGAATTACCGATTCTGTGAACTCGAGCAACTAATAACAGCAAATATTATACAAGGTTATTTTTCAAAGAGTAGCCAAATTTTAAACTTAGTTCAAATATATAAATACTGATATACTGTTATTGTAGTTACTAAATACGAGTAAATATGGCTTCTACTTTTATTTGAAATTATCCCAAATTGAATGTGATTTATGAGCAACAACGTTTTTGCCTACCGATGGAGCCTTACGAATGTGTGAATGTGCACAGTAAAATTAGTTAAAATAATGCATTACCACGCATTTCGAATTTAAAAGCTAAAAGTACAGAATGTTTGAGATTCTTTTATTTAATTTTTCTTCACCATTCACCTATATTGCCTATTTCGTACCTTATCACAGATAAATTGGCCATTTGTAGCAAAATAACCCTGTACAGTCATTTCTCTGAGACTCATATTTGCGCCATTTTCTTAATTAAAATAGAGTCAGGGAACAGAAATTTCAAAACAAAAGGCTTTTTTTTTAACTGGTTTTTTTCGCTCGGTTTTTTTTTTTAATTCGTGTGTTTTGGAAATTATATTTAGATACAAATTACATACTGATGAAATACAAATAATATTTTTTGATCTTAGCAATATAATAGAAAACCTGAACCGGTTATTTGAATAAAAAATCATGAGTGCTATTAGTTTAATTTAAATTTTCGTGTTTTTAAAATATACTGAATAAAGGGCTCGAAAAAAATAGATTTTCTCAAAAAAGAAAGGAACTTGAAAAAGAAACTAAAAAAAAGTCGGTCGGTCGGTCTGGGCTCGACCAGGGTATTACGATTCTGTGACCGCCCAATATACCAATTAAGCTAAGCAAAATTTACCTTCTTATTAAACGATATTGTAGCAGTCTTTCATTGCCTAAAAACACGGACAAAAAGACATTTTCTAAAAATAAATCCTAGCTAGATCGATTTATTGCCCCCGAAATTCCCTGGACACTAAATTTTAAGAAAAATCGTTGGAGCCGTTTCCGAGATCCCGATTATATATATATATATATATATATATATATATATATATATATATATATATATATCAAGTATTGCTCGTTTAAAGGTATAGGATTAATTATTACTTTCGAACGTATATTCCAAATACAGTCTCTATGAAAGTCTCAAGACTGTCAGACGCTTTGGCGTCTTATCCACTAGAGAGGAAAAAATAATATATTGATTCATTGTCACGGTGCCTTTGACTCAAATGCAATAAGAAATTCGATATCTTCATGGTCTTATCTAGTTTTGCTGAAGATCCCAATATTGCTCTTTCGATAGTTTGTTAACATAAATACTGGGTTTTTATAGCATTGGTTGACAAACGAGCACACACACCTGACGGTAAGTGGATGCTGTGGCCCATAGACATCCACATTTATCCTCAATTAAGGATCTAAATGCAAATGCGTTGTTACCCCTGAGGACTAAGATGGAATGCCTCAATTCCAGTAAAAAGAGTCTCTGGTTCTTTACACTCACCATACGAAACACAGCACCATTGAGCTGCTTTTTTACGCTGGTATTCTGTGAGAACGTGGTCCTGCCCCAGTCGAGCTGACCCATTCGCGCTACAACTATAATAAAGCTGCAGCGTGGCTCTACGTAAAAAAATAATATTGGACAGGATTAATAATATTTTATTACCCACGGCGGAACGGAGAAAGTACTCGTATTAGATCCATTTATCACCACAACGGTTCGACAGATTTGGTTAGTTTTCTGTAAAATATTTGTAACTCGTAATTTACTCGTAATTACTCTGTAACTCATAATTAGAGGATCATACACTGACTTGTCAGTGAAGTTATACTGAGTTCGAGACCAATTTGAATTTTGTTTTTTTTTTTGTATTGTTAATAATTAATGATGTGCATGTACTTCTTCACAATTTTTAATGCGTAGGTAGTTTGAGACTATTGCATGCATATTTCTTCCCATTGCGTATGTATATTTTTTGATATGTGTATTTAAATGTGTATCAAATAAATAGTTTTTTTCTTTCTATAAGCGAGGTTCCATAAATAGGTGTTACTCGTATTACATTGAAAGAATACTTTCTAAAATTAATGTTATTATACGGTAACTCTCTGTTTTGTACTACTAAGAACGCTTGTAAAAATATATTTAAACGGGTCTCTCTAATTTAGATGGGATTTGCCACAATTGTCTGTTTCACAGACAGATTGGAAATCGCAATTTGCAATGTGCAACTTATGAACTTATGATTTTTTTAATAAGCAATTTCATTCATTGCAAGTAATTTATATGTCGATCGTTACAAATATTCCAGAACTCAAGCCATCCCTTTCAGATTAACCGAAAATTGCATTAACAAAAAGTACTTAAGTAGTATAATGTTGCTAAATTGCACAGCTTATTTGTAAGATTTGTATTGCAAAACTTTTTCAACAGACAAACCTGTGGTGTCAAAATTTTAGCGTCGTTTTAAAGTCAACGATGTTTACCATAGAGATAGTATTGCAGTGCAACTTAATCTGGCTTCATCTGACTTTAGCGCAATACTCTACCGTATTATTAAAAAAAAGTTTAGTACACAATATATCACATTAATAGTGTAATAGTGGTGTAAGAATAATCACTACTCCATATCAACCTGCGGGTGTCGTATGAGATGACAGAGGGAAACTGTTTACAACTGGGTAGAGTCATAACATTCGGCAGATATATTATAGTTGTAGCACGAATGGACCGGCTCAACCGGGGAAGGACCACGCTCTTACTAGCGTAAAATAGCAGCTGAATGCTACTTTGTTTCGTATGGTAAGTGTAAACAATCGGAGACCGTTTTTACTAGAAACGAGGCATTTCATCTTAGTACTCAGGGGTGACAACGCATCTGCATTTTGATTTAATGTAGATGTCTATGGGCCACGACATCCACTTTCCATTAGGTGGACTGTGAGCTCGTTTGTCACCTTTATTTTATTTTGAAAAACTGTGATTTAGAGCAGCCAACACGACGTATACAATGTCAATTGTTGTTATGAGGAGTCTTATTAAAGGCGTAGACAAAACAAAACGTCTCCTTTTCTTTGATATAAAAAATATTTTAGAACGAAATATGTAAAGATATGTAGACGTACAAAATTAATAGACTGTTAAGAAATTATGTACAGGTATCAAGATTGTGACCTCGAAATTATTATGGGGCAATGGATCAAGCCATCCCAGCTACCCATAGAATATACCTCTCTCGAGTTTTATAATTCATTTTGTATTCAGAGATTTTTATACATTTTTTTTAAAAACAATGTACCTATTCTTTTTGTCGGTGGGAGATGTGGTGTAGAGCAGCCCACACGACAAATTATATATATATATGTCATTTGTTGTTAAGAGGAGTCTAATTAAAGTTCTAGACAGCCAAAATGCCTAACATTGACACAACATCTCCAACATTACAAAGCAACTTCTTTTGATCTCGCTGGCATCAATGAAATTGTCAATAGCTTTAAGTGCTAATTTACCACATGATAGGTGGATGGTTAAGTTCGTGAATAAACCTATATGACTGAAAAATGAAATATTTCGAAGACATATGTATGGAAGTCCGCTAACACGCACTGGAACAGTGCGCCGAACTAATTACTGGTCTGGCCTATATAAGATATAAAAGTGGACTGTATATCCACAGGTCGCTAAGATCCGGCTCAAGGGAACAAAAATGTGCGAGTATTGTTCAATAATAATTTAAAGTTTACGTAAAAACAGTTTATTAAGCAAGTGAAAAATATAATATTAAAATATGTTAAATTATGTTAAATGTTACGTAAGCTAATAGGTTATGTTAATGAGTTCGCGCCCGTAGCGGTTAATGTAAATGCGTGAACTAGACTAGTACATTTTTTAAAATTGTCAAAGTACCTATGCATTGAGTAAATTGCGTTAAATGTTAAAGCCAGTAGAAATGTAAAGTTACATGATTTGCTTTTGTTTGGAGTGATTAATCAATGCATTTTTCGGAGTTAAGCCAATGTTGGATATAGACATCTACATTTATCCTCGATTAAGAATCAAAATGCAGATGCGTTGTCACCCGTGAGGACTAAAATGGAATGCTTCATTTCCAGCAAAAAGGGTCCCTGGTTCTCTACAATCACCATACGAAACAGCATTGAGCTGCTATTTTACGCTGGTATTCTGTGAGAACGTAGTCCTTCCCCGACAGAATGGACCCATTTGTGCTACGACTATAATATAGCTGCAGAATGGCTCTGCCTCGTTAAAACTAGTTCCCTCTGTCGCCTCTAATGACAAAATAATTGCCGCTTAAATTTTGAAATGACAGGTTGTCTGGTGAAAAAGTTTTGCAATTTACGTATAATAAATACAAAATTGAAATATACATAATTGAAATACATAATTTAATAATGAAATGAGAAATACAAATTACGAATAGTGCTTGATTTAATATTATGGATTAACAGCCTAATGGGTTTAGTGGTATAAGCGTGACTGCTAACTGTGTTGTGGGCACTGGTTTGAATCCCGGATAGAGTCAAAAAAATCAGTTAGTGAATTGTCAAGAGTTTCGCACTAGGAGCCCGGAGTCAGGAAGTTGGCGACATTCCCTCGTGCTTAAGTAAAAACGTAAAGCGGCTTGTCCTGCTCACAACTTCTAGCCGGTCGCGTGAGATGGCCGTTCCAGTGGTCTGTTTGGTGGAGTGAGGGAATAGAGAGACCACCTGCGCTTGCGCACACACTCGTGCGTTATACTCCTGTTCCGCGCAGACGGGTGGTCCTTCGATAAGATATTAGACTAATCTATTCATCCGACCGAGAGAGTCTCTTAGAGAAAAGTTAAAAGAAATAAATATATTAACTTTGGCCTGTCGGTATATCTATGAAAATTTGATGTATATTCACAAAAATAAAGGTAGTTTTAGTAAAAAAACGTGACATATACCCTGTAAACACTAGGAACAAACACAAGCTGGTGCTACCAGTTTCTCGACTCCACAGAGTCAGTTATTCGTTCTTGAGGCAATGTATACGCTATTACAACAAAGCCCCAGAAAATATACAAGGCCTCTCTATTACCAAGTTTAAACTAAAACCGTATAAAAAGGTTATTATTATGATATAAATGAATAGATGGTTGATAATAACACCTGGAAATGAGGTGGTCGCTTCCAAGCTGTTTTTAAAATAAATTTTGTAAATATTTCGTTACCCTTGAAATTGTAAATTTTTAAAAAAAAATGTCCCTCTGGGTTTCTTGCTGGTTCTTCCCAGGACGGAAGTTATTTCGAACGAGTGGTAACGTAAAAAATTGACTTTCAATAAGAATTACTTGCAGTCTATATTGAATAAAAAATTATTCTATTCTACTCTATTCTGTTCTATAACATCCATAATTTGGTTTATCTATTTCTAATTCAATTTATATAAAATTAGGTGACATTGTAAAATTGAATATTAATCTCTACACTTTGTAAACAAATTAACTTCCCGTGCTATGAAATCTGTATTTCACCTCGTTGCAAAGTGATGCCTCCATGGTGGCAGAAAAAGCTGCAGATACCCTCATTAAAAACAAACAACAGTAGTCAAATTACTACTCTAACTCGAACGGAAAAGGACCACTCACAAAATAACATTATCTTAATGCTATTGTGTTTCGTATGGTGATTGTGAAATGAGACTGAACCGGAAACCTTTTTTACTGGAAACGATGCATTTCATCGTTGTCCCCAGGGGTGAGGGGTGACAACAGATCTGCATTTTAATTCTTAATCGAAGATAAATGTAGATGCCTATGGGACACAGCATCCACTTACCATGAGGTGGACTGTGTGCTCGTTTTTCACGCCCATTCTATTAAAAAAAGATCCGCCGGCCAACATGACTATTGAGGCAAACCTTACCCACCAAGGGAGAGACCGTTTGTAAGAGTCCAATTGTAGACTTTTACAAAGTGGTGATTAAGAACAACAACTGCAGTATAAATGTTTGGCTATAGAAGGAAAAGGGGAGATCTCCCACCGGGCTCTTGCCCGGGGAGCGGCCATCGCTCCGTATGATAATAAAGAGCTATGCTATATACACCGCACTACATTCAGAACTTTGATAGCGTGATTTAGGCTTCAGTGTATTATGCTTGTGGCTAGAGCGCCATCACAAATGGTTTAGTAATTTTCCAATTACAAACTAATATCATTTTTATCCCCATGTCCAGGTGTGTGTCGTTCTTCTCGCTGCTGTCGCCATCGCGACCCCTGAAGGCAAGCGGGACAAGCGCGGCTTCTTGCTCGGAGGCTCCCATGGATACGGCGGATACAGCAGCATTGGTGGATACGGTGGTGGCTTCGGCGGATACGGTGGGGCTATCATTGAATCTGCGCCCGCAAGAATCGTGTCCGTCCACAAGGTCGTCGAAGTACCAAAGGTGAACTTCAGCTATAAGTAAACGCATGAATACAATAGTACCTTACAATAGTATTTTTTATAGAATAAGTGTGACAAACGAGCACACAGTACACTTGATGGTAAGTGAACGCTGTGGCCAATAGACATCTACATCCATCCTCGATCAAAAACCAAAATTAAGATGTGTTGCCACTTTAAGGACTAAGATGAAATGCATCGTTTCTTGTAAAAACGATCTCCGGTTCTCTACACTCACCAAAAGCTGTAATGATGCGGTAATGGTGGTCCTTCCTCATTCGGTTCGACCTATTAATACTACAATCTTAATATAGCTCCAGCGTGGCTCTATTACATATAACTCTTTTTTAAATGTAAAATAGGTAACATAATAGGATTTTAACATTTTATTTTATTTTCAGGTAATAACTATCAACAAAGTGGTGTCTGTGCCGAAGGTCGTTTCCGTGCCCCAAATCGTGAAGGTGTCCAAGATCGTGTCGGAGCCCGTGCACTACTCCTCCGGCTGGTGGTGAAGGCAGTCTCCTTTATTAGCATAATAAGAACCAAATGTATTGTACCATATAGTTAATTATATTTTTTTATTTCTTTGTTACCTGTTGTATTTTATTAAATTAACCTACCATAATTGAAAAGACATATATCTTCATCTGTCTTTGGTTGCTCACACATGTTTTTAAGGTTCAATCTTAAAATCATCATCTATCTAATATTCCAAAACCGTAATTAGCGGTGTAAGAATATACACTACCCAATATCGTCCCATGAGTGTCGTGAGAAGCGGAAGATGCAATAGACCAGGGTGACGGACAGCAGCATCTTCCTAATAACAATTAAAAATAAATATGATTGTGGCCACTCGCTCGCCAAGTGAGTTAATGATGGAAACTAGGCAATTCATGGGGGATGTACATATATTTGACTTTTGATAAGGTTTAATGGTAATTGTAAATGTAATTTAATGTTTCAGCTTCCGCCTTTGTGGTCTCTTACGACACCCACGGGACCTTCACGTAAGAGAGCGCACTACTCCGTGTCGTTAAATTAACTGAAAATTATTACCATAAAGAAATACTTGAACAAAAGCTAGTGTAATAGTGTCGAGGAAAGTGGTGCTGGGATTAGTGTTGACTAGGATAGTGCATGCAATTGAGGGAGGCCGGGAAGTGCCCTTCAAAGTAGTAAGATATTATTTTATTACGCGCGTCTTAACAAATTAATTTATAACATTTTAAGAAGTGTAATATAGTTTATCCAATTTTTATAAACTATTTTTATTAAAACAATAATATTTTAGTGTTGCTATATTAATTTAACCACTTTAAATTATAATAATTAACATCGACTATTTTTTCAATGACCTATTTATCATAATTATTTGATTATGATATTAAAGTTTCTCACGTTTACTTTAAACTTTCACTTCGCATGTGATTATAACATCGCAGATAAACGAAATATAATGTTGCGAGAAAGTATTATAACGCTAAAATTATGCATTCAGTCCAAGTTCATGCAGCAATGTCCGCGCCGTTAGTCCAATTAAATCATGTTATAAAAATTTTATAATCTGTGTAACGTGTTGTGGTCTCTGTGGCTTGGCAATAAGTTGCAACGCTAAGAGTCGCGGGTTCGAAACCTGCACGTAACAAGTAAGTATTTGTATGGCTTACAAATAATTTCTCCGTTTCTGGATGTATGTCCTTGTAAAATTTGTGTATATATTTATGTATATACTCCTTCCACGATACAATAGATAATCGTAGTGTTTGGGTAACGTATTTTCTTTAAACCTTTGCTGCATTAAACTTACTCTTTCTTTTTCAAATTCCTTATTCGCCATAATGTAGGTACGGGTATAAGATTGTACATCACTGTTTCCGCTACATTTTACCTTACGGCATGTAAAGTCATAAAAACTAAGAAATACAATTCTGATAGCAAATTAACTACTAATATGTTATTTATATTTTATTTATAGAAGAAAGGTGACAAGCGAGCACATAGTCCACCTGATGGTAAGTGGTTGCTGCGGCCCATAGACATCTACATCTATCCTCGATTACGAATCAAAATGCAAATACATTATTACCCGTGAGGATCAAGATGAAACGCCTCCTTTCCCGTAAAAAGGGTCTTCGGTTCTTTCCACTCACCATACGAATCACAGTGGTATTCTGCGAGAGCGTGTTCCTTCCCCGGTCGAGCCAGCCCATTCGTGCCACAAATATACTACCAATAAAATTCTCGCTTATGTCATTAACAACTTATTTTTACTGTTTTGTATATGTAGGCGAAAGAGGATCATCTTCAGGTTCACTCATGATGCATGGCGTAAATATGCGTACGTTACAACATAAAATACAAGAAAATAGAATAAACGGATCATTAGCAATTCGTAGCAAATATCTGGTACGCTTGCCGATCATATTTTTCCCAAGAAAATCCTATAACTACGCAGTAGTACAATAAGTCTATGCCTACGCAGTGATAGCTACGTTAGCAACGATACTACGCTTTGCTGTCGTAAAGCCTCTTTACCCTCGATCTAACCAGTATTTTACAGACGTGCCGAGATATATTTATCATTAAAAGTCTTTCATACAATAATAACATTTTATCTAATAAATCTCTGTTGAATTTCTTGAAATTTTGCTTTGTTTCGCCTTTTTAAATCGATTTAACATTATTCCATCTCTAGACACGCCTAACTGTGAACTGTCACCCGCACCATGCTATAACGCATAGACATATAACAGATTTCCCATGAAATTTTGTGTGTAGGTAGTTAGGGACTCGACGAAACTTATAGGTTACTTTTATCCAATTACAAAACTTCAAAATAGGAAGTTTAAGTATTTTTCTTCCTTTAGATGTTAATTTCTATCCATATCCATACTAATATTATAAATGCGAAAGTGTGTTTGTTTGTTTGTTTGTCCTTCTTTCACGTCGCAACAGAGCGTCGGCATGTCATGATTTTTTGTATGGGGATAGTTCGGTGGCTGTAGAGTGACATAGGTTACTTTTTTCCGCGGAAAAACATCTCATTCCCGTGGGAAAATAGAATATGTTGCAAAATTAAATTCAGCTAGGTGGCGCCACCGTGATTCTACAAGACGGACGACGGTACGATGGACGAACACAGAAGGTCATAATATCTGGATCATTATGTCTTTTTACCAAAATTAAGATAAAAAATGTATGGATCTGTATTTTTCCATACAGGACCGGGGTGAGAGCGATAAAAAACATAAAATTCACCAGCTGATTTTCTTCAAACGTTTTGGTGCATTGTAATTCAAAGAATAGGCGATAACCTCGCAGACGATATTAAGTAATCCGTTGATGCTCTGCCCATCCCGCAATGGTTACAGGCGTGATTATTAGTATGGATCAGAAATACTATCACCACCTGTCACGCTTTCATCCTTAACTATTACTTAACTGTGGTAGAAACAGTTCTTAGTAAGCCTTATTAATAAGCCTTAGTAATATTTATTGAACGGAAATGAATACAGTTCTTATATGTGGTTATGAATGAATCGGTATTACAATAAGAAAAATTGTGCAAAATTATAAGAAAAATATTTTTGAGAGTTCTTATTAAAACTAACGTATACATAGTTTAAATTGATTCCACTAGATGTCGTTACTAGGTTTTTAAAACGCGATAACGAAATGTTTCCTGACATGTACTTAACTCCCGCCGTTGAGCCGCGCGTCAACTTATAGTGCATACGGTACCTATACGCTTAAATTGTTTCTATTTCATAGCTTATTCGACTACCTGCTTTCGATTTCGGTTGTTTGTTATTTGTTTTGTGATTTGGTTAAGGTTGAATGAATTTATATTGGCTTTCATTTTCGGATTTGTGTATTTTCTTGGATCGGTTTTGTTGATTTTGTTGGTATTCCTTTATACATATTTAGACTCTGGCTTTGATTTTGGATTTTGTTTATTTAGAATCGTGAATTGGTTTTCGTTGTTTTAAGTTGTTTAACAATATTTTAAAGGAATGTTAATAGCATAGATAGTGTATACGGAAATTATACGTAAAATAAACTACGATATACCAGTACCCGAATTTGTATCCCGCTTGCTTCCCGAACAAAAACGAGTTTTTGACAAAGTATTAGGACAAATTGAATCTGGAAATGGTGCACTTTTCTTTTTAGATGCCTCTTTTTTCTTTTTAGGAACTGGGAAGACATTTTTGTTAAATTTATTATTAGCGCAAGTACGGAAAGATAAAAATATTGCTGTGGCCGTAGCTTCCTCCGTTATAGCCAGCCACGCTGGTAAGCGGAGGCCGCACTGCACATTCTGTTTTAAAACTCCCTCTAAATCTAGCCCAGGAAGAATCGCCGATCTGCAACTTTAGCAAAAATAGTGCACGAGGTATAATGCTACAACAATGCAAACTTTTAGTGTGGAACGAAAGTACAATGTCGCATAAAAAGCTGTAGAAGCACTAAATCGAACGCTCCAGGATTTGTGCAGCAGTACCAATGTAATGGGGGGAATGGTGGTTTTACTGGCTGGTGACTTTCGCCAAACTTTACCTGTCATTCAAAAGGGCACACCTGCAGATGAAATTAAAGCATGCCTCAAGTCGTCTATTTTATAGAACAAGGTGACAAAATTTTGTTTAACTACGAATACGAGAGTGCATTGGTATAATGATATCAATGCTATATGCTGACACACTATTAAAAATTGGCGATGGGCGGTTGGAAACGGATGCTAAAGGCTGCGTTAAATTGACGATAGATTTTTGTAATTTAGTACAGAGTCATTCCGAATTAATTGCGAGCGTTAATTCAGATTTAACGAACAACATGCATGAAGACAAATGGTTATGTGAAAGGGCGATTCTTGCACCAAAAAATGAGAGTGTTAACAAAATAAATTCAGATACATTAAGCGAAGTAGCAGGAGAAATAACAGAGTATTTGTCAGAAGACACAGTTGTGGACACAGAACAGAGCACTTCATATCCCGTAGAGTTTCTAAATTCTCTAGAGTTGTCAGGTGTGCCCTCACATAAGCTTCAATTAAAATTAGGCGTCCCAGTCATGCTAATGCGAAATTTAGATGCTCCTCGGTTATATAACCGGACAAGGCTGCGTGTAACACATCTTGGACGGAACATAATCGGTGCTACAATTTTGACAGGCGTAGGAAAAGGTAAAAATGTTATTATACCACGGATCCCTATAATTCCCACAGATCTTCCTTTTCAATTCAAAAGGATGCAGTTCCCTATTAAGCTCAGTTTTGCAATGACAATTAATAAAGCGCAAGGGCAAACGTTACAGGTAGCGGGGGTCAACTTAGAAAAACCGTGCTTCTCTCATGGTCAAATGCCCAGAATCTCCACATTCTTTCCCCGAATGGAAAAACACATAACGTTGTGTACAGTAAAATAGTGTTCAGTTAGTTTTTTTTTTTAAAATTCCCACAATTAATTAATCATAATTCCCATAGATCTTCCCTTTCAACTCAAAATTT